CCAACTGATATACCACTTAATGGCATTAATGGTTATCAAACTGTTGCCAATAAATATCTTAAACATTGTGTCGATCAGAATAAATACTGTTCCCTTTTGGGATTCTATAGGTATGGCCACAAAGTATAGCTTGGATTAACTTTTATGTCTAATAATTGTTATTATTTTGACAGCAAAATAGGTGATAGATATGTGGTCTTCAAAAATGAAATTGATTTTATGCTAAAAGTGTTCACTGAATGGAAAGGGTTGGCTACAGGCGCTGACTACGAAGTCATTGATGCCATCATTGGACACCCATTTCAGACGACACAAGAATTAATGCAATTCCGAGCGCTGTATCCGGAATACAGCAAAGTCTATGTGACTCACTATACCGGTGCCGTCAAACGGCTAAACCAAGCCCTCAAGCAAAAGGCCGGTGCCGTCTGTTTGGTTGTGTCTATGGGCGGGAAACGACATTCAGTCGATGCGGTGGACGTACACTCCCGGGTGTTTGTCATCGAAGGGGAGGCGCGGCATCGAAATTGTAATTATTTTCTCGAACATCCCGTTCCCATATAATAATAAAAATGTAATTTTATTTATTAAGGTTTTTATTTGGATCCGACGGCTGAAGTGAGAGATCCTAATCCACTGCTTATGAAGATTAAGAGTAAAGTGGCTAAAAATACTACTCTTTTGTGTGGAAACGCATATTTAAGGGCCGGGAGGCAGTCTATCCGGTGGTGTCTCGACTTTATTTCATATGTTTTAAGCGATAAGGATTGGCATAATCTGTATGATTGGCGCCCATTGAGAGCCAAAAATTGATGAATTTGTTAATAAATGGCTCAATTATTAGCCGATATATAGCAGAGAATAATATAATGTAGTTCTTTATGGCACTAAACAAATGGTAGATTTCCAAGAATTGTTTGCTTTTATGTTGAAAACAAGTGTTGAAATAGTTTGAAATGTTTGACAGAATGTCTGAACAGACTCTGTACTAGAATGTAATGTTTAAAGTGTTAAATATTTTCTAGTTCAATTATTATGATCAACATATAATATATAATAAATTTTATTTATATTTAAAACTCATAATTATAATTTTATATATTAATCAAATTATTTATAAAACATTTAGTAAACTTTTGCTGATAAAAAAATAATTATTATAGTAAGCAAATAATTACTAAAACACTGACTTAGAAAACAATTCGTTGATTAAGTATCTGGACAACTTTTTGTAGAGTCATATCCAGTATAAGGCACTGATATTTTTGGTGTTTATCCGCGCAAACACTTTTCACTTGATCCTCCAAATAATCTAATGTGAGTTCATTTGTGTCCAGTTCATCTAAACATTGTGTCCAGCATATTATATTCATAATAATAAACTTATAATACAAATTGAAAGTAAGTAAAATGCAAATTACAAACCAATCAGTCTTTGGGCGGACTCTTTAATTCTGTCATCCATTTCATCATTGATTGTGGGGTTGTATGTAATGACACCATTGATCACAATAAATAGTATTAATATGACTACTAGTTTAAATAATTTAATGTATTTTGAATACATTGATGAGAATAAAGTATTTATTGTTACAATATTTACTATTTTTATATGTTAAATAATATAATTCAATAATACTGTAGAATAAATGGTTTTATACGGTAATTCATAGGGTATAATATCCTGCTCTGAGTATTCAATATGACATCAAGTAATAAATCTCCCTGATATCAAATCTAATAACCAGGGAGAGGTCGTAAAACATATTTAATAATATTTGCAGTAAGTATTTATAATGAAATGTAGTAATTATTACTGGATAGTTTGCAAATATATTAAAGATAATAAAGTACAATATTAGTTTATTATGACATTACTGTATACTATGAATTTCATACAGTAGTATAAAACATTTTATATAAATTACAAATAATTTCCAATAAATCACAAATTTGTAATTTACATTAAAATAATTAAGCTACTTAATCGTAATAAACATAAGTTTGTATAGATTTTGGATCTATTTTTGTGGTCAATTTTCCCGACTTACTGTCCTCTACAGTAAAGTCAATGTCTGTCTCATCATTATTAACGACAATAACAACCGTCGAGTTCTGAGGGGTACGGAAGGCACCGACAGTTGCCTCTGTATTGTTTCGTATAACAATGGGTGAGTCAACCCGTACGGCACCGGGACGTAAGAATTTGGCGAAGTGTGCCATAGCGTAGAAGGAAGGCTGACGGTAGTACTCGTGGGCGTCCAGGTTAGCGATTATGGGAGAGTCGAACCGATTACCCGGGATCCAGGAGGGGCCTCCTGATGTGTCCAAAACCATATTCCAGTCGGTCCACCCCACAGTGTGGTGGTTCAGAGTCTAATGAAATAGGTATACAGTTTTACATAAACCTCATAACTCTCATATAAGTTTTACAACATTCATATACATTATATATATAAGTACATATAATTAAGTACATATATATAAGTACATGTACATATACATTATACATTAAGTCTTATACTAATAAACTCACTCCAAGTATATCGTAACCATAAGCCTGAGCCAATTCCCACGCCCCGAGTCTAACTCCAGGTCCCATACAGGCCTCAGTAGACAGAATGAACTTATCAGGGTGTAATTTATGTGGTTCGTCGAGATTAGTATGCGGTGAATGTGTGTACCAATGGATGGCAGTCCCGGCCGCGTATTTGGCGGCCGTCTTGTCGGCGAATATAACGC